CCCAGCCCTGATTGTCCTGCTTTGACCTCACTGCGTAGATGCTCTGTTCCTGGTGTGCCAGGTGCAGCCCAGCCCCCACAGTGTTTACAGACCTGGGGCTATGGGGGAGGTGCGCCCCGGGCCCCTTTGGGTTCCTGAAAGGCTGCTTGAACGGCCCGTGGGCTACCCTTTGGAGGTCGCATGTTCCAGCCCAGTGTTAGCACAGGCACTCGGTCAGGCAGAGGGCTCAGGGCGACTTCCTTCCACGAATAAACTCCCCTCCTGCCTTCTCTGCAGCCTGGTCATCATTCATACCAGCAAGTGGCCCGTTTGCCTTTTAGTGCAGTTCGCGTGCTCGCACTCACCTGGGCGCTCGGCGCCGCCACTTCAACGTGGGGTTGGCAGAACCTCGTGTTTTCATTGTCCTTGAGGTCCCTGGAGCCGGGTGCCCAACCCAGGCCTGCAATGGCAGGGTTGAAGCATCGCCCGGCTGCCTCTGGCCACTTCCTTTTTTTAAAATTTAATTTATTGATTTCAGAGAGAGGTAGTGAGAGAGAGAGCATGCGAGAGAAACATCGGTTTGTTGTTCACTTCCTTATGCATTCATTGGCTGACTCCTCCAGTGCCCTGACCAGGGATTGAAGTTCAACTCGGGAGCATCTGGACGATGCTCCAACCAACTGACCTTGGCCGGGGCTGGCCGCTTTGTAAAGAAACCACCCATAATTTAGAATGAGAAAGCAAGTCCCCCCTTTTTTGAATCTGCTCATTACTTATTGCTGAAAGAGTTGGTTGTCAGGTGTGTTTTTAAACTTCTCTTTGGAAGCAGCTGCACCTGCCCACCTGCACTCAGGGAGCCCGGGCTGGGTGCTCACCCCCCTCCACTGAGCGAGGATGTGCAGACAGAGGCCCCTGAAGCTGTGGCGGAGAGAGCTGCGCAGGCGGTTTTCTGCTGTGTCTGTGTTTCCTCCTGGGGCACTGCCTTGCCTGCGGGGGGGGGGGGGGGGGTAACGGGGGCTACAGTCCTGACCTTCACTAGGGCAGAGCCCAGCACGGCCCAGGGGCTGGCTCGGTGCTTCTCAGACTGGAGAAGCAGGCCTGGTGGGGCCGGAGCAGCAGTGCTGCCTGGGGGCGGCCAGTCCCCAGCAAGACAGGCCCGTGGGCGCCCAGGCCGCCGCTTCTCAGGACTGGGTGCCGGCGGAACAGCCGGGTGGTGGCTCTGGTTGAAGCAATCCTGTGCTTTTCACACCAGGGCACAGCAGAGGTCTCTGGCTCGGGGCCGCCCCCTTCATGTGCTTCGGCCATGAAGCACAGACGTCCTGCAGCCCCGCACGAAGACAAGACCAGGCCGCCCAGCTTCTCCTTCCTGTGCCTGGACCAGGGACTCCGGAGCTGCCAGCTGGCGCTCGGACCTGGATCCACTCCCTGCGGCTTCCACGGTGCCATCTGCCGTCCTCTCCAGAGACAGCGGATGACACGGGGTTTGGGGCCTGGCGGCTGCTGGAATGCCCCCGAGTGGCCCTCCCTGCACGGGTTCCTCACGGGTACTGAGGGGCTGTATTAGGTCAAATGGGCCCCAAAGAAGTATGGAGTGTCTGCCCTAGTCAACAGGTACAGCCCCCAGCCCCCCGGGCACATTTACAGAATTTAGCCTTTTCAAGAGCATTTTGCCTCCAAAATTCAGAAGGCCCTAACGAAGGGGAGGTAGCAAGCCGTTCTGCCTGAGTCACTTGTGTCCCAGGGGCAGCTGGGCATGAGCTACTTGGGGTCATCTGGCCAGAGTCAAGTGTTCCAGAAAAGGCTGCCCTGACCACAGGGCTGGAGACCCCAGGGTTAGGTTTGGGGTGACGGGGTCTTGGCACTTATGCTGACACCCACTCTGAGGCGTCCCCCGCTCTCCCCATCCCTCCATGAGGGGCAGAGCCCGGGGCCGGCATGGGCTCTGGCAGGATGCAGTGTCCACCCCTTCGTGGCCCAGTTGCCGGCCATGCGGTGGTGCAGGATGGAGAATGCAGAGTGAGGACAGGCCAGGCAGGAGCAAACCTGTGCTTGCTCAGGAGCTCAGGGGGGAACCACAGGGCAGTCCTGGCTCACAACCCCAGGTGGTCTGAGTGATGGTGGACAGGCTGACCCAGGAGGATGGAGGAGCCAAACAGCCCCCCTCCCCCGTGGGGAGGAGGCAGCACGGCCTCTTCAGTGAGGCCGTGTAGTGCCCAGCTCCAGCACACACCACGTCCTGGGTGCGTGGGGACAGCGAGCGGGACAGGCCCTGGCGGTGCTCTGGGCTCCTGGAAGCCTGATGATGTATGGTTAGGGGACACTTGAGGGAGTACCACGATGATGGGTATGAGCGGGTGGATCAGGGGCCCGAGCCCTGGGGGTGACCCTGCGTATCCCATGTCATCTGTGCTGAGATGCTCAAGTCCAAAGCCCAGGATCTTGGAATGTGACCGCTGTTAGAGGCACGTTACAGCAAGGTCATCAGGTGGGCCTGGCCCCACCTGCGGGGAAGGAGGCAGCGCCGTGAACACACAGGGAGAAGGTCGTGTGCAGGTGGAGGCAGAGAGTGGAGCGAGGCTCCACAAACCAGGGCACGCCCAGGCGGGGACTCCGCAGAGGCAGGAGTGGCCTGGAGCTGTCTCCCTCAGCCTCAGGGGGACCTCCCGACACTTGGTCTGGACTCCTAGCCCCACAGGGAGAAAACATTTGCCCGGGGACTCCCAGTCCTCCCTCCTGTGGCCCTAGGTGCAGGCAGCCCTGGCATGTGGGCTGTTGGTGCCACTGCTGAGGCCACCAGGACCAGGAAGGTATGTTCACAACTCAACCCTCCAGGTGCCTCCTGACAAGTATGTGACACTTGGTGCCTCCCTTCCAGTTCCCCTTCCGTTAAGGGAGCAGGAGGGTGGCCAGCCTCTGGTGGCTCTGGTGGCCCTTCCCATAATGCACCCAGAAACAGGAAAAACAATGCATTCATATATCCCCAAGAGGTGTGTAATTTGCACTCATAAAACAGTATAAAATGAAGTTTGCAGCCTTGCAATGCACCCTCTCCTCCAGGTGCGCTGGGAGACTGTACAGGGGCAGCCTTAACGCAGGCCCCCAGGAAGGGTTCAGCGTCTTGGGGAGCCTGGGGCTGGCTTTGCACAACCTGGGGCCTGTGGCGGCCTCGAGGTCACGAGGGGACTGTGCAACCCAGGGGGCACTGCCAGCCCTGCTTCGTGGGCCTGCGTCTGCCCAGGTGCCCTCAGCCCTGCTCTCTCCAAGGGGGTGATACTCTCCCCAGCGGGGGGAATCCCATCTCCCTCAGGGAGGGGAAGCAAAGGAAATGTGAAGAATTACAGTGGTTTGAGGTCTCCCCTTGTGTTCTCTCCCAACGGAGAAAGTAAATTCTAATTAATTAATTAATTCAATTAATTAGGTTTCAGTCAGATTAGCATTTTTCTCCCTGGGGGAGCAGTAATGAAGGAAAGGTTGGGCTGAGCCCTCCCACCTCCTGGCCTGGGAATGTCTGGGGCCGAGTGTCGGGGTGCCATGGGTCTGGTGGTCGGCCAGGTCTGGGTTCGGAGTGGTCGACCCTCCTGCGTGTATTCAGGGGAACATTTTTCACTGCAGATGCCCCCAGCTTCTCCCAGCGGTTGGGTAGCTGTGGGATCATCGGCTCCATGGTAACTTTGAGGATAGAGCTCTTGCTGGCCAGGCCTCCCCACGCCGGGTCTGCGCTCAGTTCTGCTGCATCGCGGGCTCACCCTGCAGTGCTGGTGAGCACCCCACTGTGCCCAGCCAGGGCGAACACTGCATCCCGCCGTGTCTATGGGTTACGAGCATAGACGAAGGGTCGGCAGTGAAGCACGGACCCACGGGGACCTCAGCCCTTGGTCTTGGAGGGAGGAGCACAGGGAAGAGTGGCCAGAGAACAGCAGGGCCAGGCCACCGAGGGGAGGACAGGACAGCCCTGGGGAAGCCGGGCCATGGGGGAGAGAGCTGGCTCCGCTGGCCGGGCTCCTCCAGCCTGCGGGCTCCTCTCTGAGCAGAAGGGGCTGGTCTCGAAGCTGAAGCTGTGGAGCTGGGTCCCAGGTTGGCTTTGTTCTTTTAATAAGTTATTTTTAAATACGTATGTTTTTATTGATTTTTCAGAGAGGAAGGGAGAGGAAGAGAGAAACATCACTTGCTGCCTCCTGCACGCCCCCTACTGGGATCAAGCCCGCAACCACAACCAGGGCATGTGCCCGGATGGGGAATGGAACGAGCAACTATTGATGGGTTGATGCTCAACGGCAGAGCCACACCCGCCGGGCTCTAAGTTACATTTTTAGAGCACTTGGGTTTACAGAAAACGCAGAGTTCCACTCCTCCTCCCCCCAGTCCCTCCCTGGCCTCTCCACCCCGGTTCCTGACTCAGTGGCCTCCAGGCACGCCTGCCTCAGGGTTCTGCCTGTACTGCCCAGATATGCCCTCCTGGCCCTCACTGCCCGCAGGTCCCAGCCCTCCTGTCTCCCTCCCCCAGGGCTGCTCGCCGCCCCATGCCCTGGGCAGCCAGCGCTATCTCGGTTCTGCAGGGCGGGAGGGCGGGGCTCTGGATGCACCTGTCACTGCTGGGTGGCTGGGCCCTGAGCTGACATCACTTTACAGCCTGGGGCTTCCTTCTGGCTCAAGGAAGGGGAGGTTGGTGGCACCTTAAAGCCCCTGGAGGCTGGGGGCCCTGCCTTCACTCCCGGGGCTCCTCACGCAGAGGAAACGGTGTCTCTCTGCTTCCCTCAAGGCTGGGCTTTCTGGCCCCTGGTCGGGGGCACCGAAGCCAGGAGCCCTGTTGGGTCCTCAGATAAGCACCGCGTACCCAGGTTTCACGGTTACAACCACTGGCTGGAGGCCGGCCCTCGGCTGCCTACTTTGCCAGGAGGAAGCCGGCTCTTCCAGGGTCCGGGTCTAGGCGGGGTCGGTATTCACCCCGCCCTGGACCCTGGCTGGCGACC